CCTTGGTAGAGTACTATGGCATCACAGCTCACAGCAATCTCAAACTCTTGGGCTTAAGTGATTTCCTTGCCTCAGCCTCCCAAGTAGCTAGGAATACAGGTGTCCGCCACAGCGCCCGGCTGTTTTCTTGTTGCAGTTGTCATTGTTGTTTAGCTGGCCCAGAACCTGCCATGTTTGGTGCACGTGGCTGGCACCATAACCACTGTGCTACGGGCACCAAGCCTCATAGTTAATAATGTTAACTGAAGGTGACTCCTTGCTACATATATACATGTACATGCACATATACACATACCCATACACATCCATGTACATAAATGTCCAGTTTTTTGTGTTTGCATGAAGTACTTAGGTATTCAGAGAATGAACACAGGAACAATCAGGCTCTAAAACTTTTAATAGTCACATTAGTTTGTATTTACAAAGCTATGAGGAAATAGTAGGATGTGAGCTGTGTTTGAAACTGCTGCTTAGAATGAAATACATCCAAATAATGAAGCCGGCCACATCAAGGGCGGTAAAGTAATTCACACATTTCAGAGAGGCTTATTTTGGAATATACGTCTTTGCCAGAAGATGACAACAAAATAATTTAAATAAAAATTTCAAGGTTAAAAAAAAAGGAAATGGGAGCAGGGAAAGAGCAAAAGGGAAGGAAATACTTAAAGAAACAAATCTGTATAGATAATGTATTGAATTTAATTAAATTCATTCTTACCTAAAACTAAGTCTGGTTAACTGAGGTAGATTCTAGGAATAAGGTGTGCAAAGATTCAGGTTTCCCAAAGGGCAACTGAATCAGAGACTACAAAGCAAAAGTCCATTCTATACTTTTGGACATAAAATCAAATGGGAGCCCTTTTATGGGAGGGTAACTTCTCTATATTAATCTTCTATTTGTTGTGCCAAATTTCCAGATGGAAATGAAAACTTATTTCTAAGGAAGGAATACACACTGCTGGTGATAAAAAGCGATCTTTAAGTTTAATTTTTATTTATTTTCTCAAGAAATGAGAGAGGTAAAATAAAACTAAATTTATGCCATTACCTTAAAATTTTTCCTGTTTTTATTAATAAATCAGTGGAAATTTCAGAAATATTATTAAAGTTAAAGAGCCGTCCGGAACCAAAAAATCTAATAAAAATTCAAAGAATTATTGTTAACTAGGTAAATATTTAAGAACACATATATTAAGGATTTGACTTTTTTTAAATACTCATACAGTTTCTACATTAAGAAATAACATTAAAAACAAAAAATTAAATAAATAAGGATGAAGGCCTAAGTTGAAAATATAAATAACTAAACTTATGGTAAGTATAAGAGCTTTTAGCTTTTTCTGCAAAAGTATTGGAAATGAGAGTAAAACATTTGAGGTTTAAATATTTCTATCCCCCTAACATGTTCGCCTACAATTTCTACTTTTTATCTATCGTGACAGAGCCTTAGATTCACATAAATATTATGTGCATCATAAATTAAGTAGTATGTTAAAAATATATAATCAAAACAGTTAAGGAAAAAAAGATACAAAAAAAGAAAAGTTATGATGTTTTTCCTCATACAAGTTTAGTTGTCCTTTTCTTGGAAAAGGCCTGCATACATCCTGAACATCTTATGCCTATCATACAGAATATATTCTATGGTATACTGTGATCATCAATTAGATAAAAGGAAGAGTGGAATCTATTTTCATGGGAAAAAAGCCAATACGGAACAAGCTGAAGTCCACTCACACAACATGGTAGACCAGCCTAGGGCCCTCGTGTTATCTCAAGCCAGGTAGGGAGAAAGTAAAACATGTAAAATATAAACATGTCAACTAGTTACTGTTTTATGATTCTCAGCATAGATTTGGCAGTGTATAGAGAAACTTGTTTCCAAGGAAGGAATTCAGCTGAACTCAGGCTATCCAAACCTAAAGAGTTTCAATAATTTCAAATTCAACAGAGTCAAGCTATACACAGCAAAGTGAACCTGTCAATTATACTGTAAATTTGGGCTGTATATACATATTTTCCCCTGATATACCTGAATGGCTCTATAAATTCACCAGATACTTGCTTGCGTACATTTAAGTAGTGATTTCATCCTATTTTTTTTAACAGTCAAATGTCACATAACAAAAATTGCCATCTCAAGCTCCAATGAAACCCCTACCAACACAGCTAGACCTCAGCATGTTCCCCTCCCAACATGGCTTGGCATTTTGGGAGGTAGTAGTCAGAGCCTAATTAACACGTTTTGGTCATTCTGGAATGACTACACTGCTACAGACTAGAAGATAAAGTCTTTGATGCCATCATCTATTTCTATTTGGCTAATCAGAAGGCTGCAGCCTCTACTAAAGTGGTTTGTCTGGTACATTTCACCAACATTAACTTCCTTTAAAAAAAGGCACTATGGGAACAAAATGTGTACAGTAAATATATAACGTACATATTTACCATAATTACGTGTACCTGTTTATAACAAACATGTAGCTTAGAAAATGGAAAAAACTGGTAAATTAAAACATATCTGTAACAGTTACATATTGTACCAACAAATGGATATCAGTTCTAATTTTAAAGCATTTAAAGAGCAAAAAAGAGGAAAAAAACTTTTATACATTATCTTTCCACAGCACACACAGATTATATTGTGCCTCTCCATTTATGAAGTAAACTTGTTTCAATAGTTGAAGCTACACAGAGTCTGTCATTAGAGAAAGTGCCAACTTAAAACCACAGTGTCTAGGCCAGCTTGGTAAGCCACAGGGCTCCCACTCACCTTGTCTTGCACCCAGTAAGCAACTAATGCATGTCTACTAAACGAAGGCACTACCTGATCTGATTATCTGTAAAGTAGAATTACATGTAAATTAGTCCTAAAATCATTATGCTGCAGAACTCAAAATACTCATGTTTTCAGAGGAATTAAAAGAACCCAATATTTCTACTTCGATAATGCATCGGCTACTGCAACACAGAAAAACAAAACAAAGCACAACAGTTCTCTGTCTCACTGTGGGTAAGGAAACACACTCTTCTGCACTAATGATAATTATATACAATGTACATTAAAGGCTAGACAGAACCTCTGAGGGAGCTCTTCAAGATCCTTTAAGGGGTTTAAGATATACAAAGCATTTACCATCCACTGATAGAGCAAAAGGAGAGAACAGGGAAATCAGAAAGCACACCTGACTCTCTTAACATTGTAAAGATAAACTTCCAGCAAGTTTGAACTCCCAAATACTGCTTAACTGGCAATAAAAGAATTACAATTACTATGTCATTATTCATAAAGAATTCAAAAAAATTCACATGCATGCCAAGATAAATAACACAACATCCAGAGAAGGTCTAACTAATCAACTAAAATATTGAAAACAAGTTTTAACAAACCAATGTTTCGGCCATTTCCCCTAAGACTTTGGGGGAAAAAATACATTACTGGATGCCAATAGTTTGCAATATAATCATAGTGGGTTTCCTTAATTATTTTAAAAGTTCATGAATTAAAAAAAACTCATTTCAATATTTAAACTGAATTAATTCAATTACAATAGATGCCTTATCATTTGAAGTCTTATGTGTATCTGTGTCTTACAGGAAAGAGGGCAATTTATAGCATCAAATAAACACTGGCGTTTAAACAGAATCAGACTTAAGTTATCTAAAAGAACATATGGCATGTATAGTTCTTAGTAGGGAGAAAAATAATAAAATCTCTTAAGCAAGACACTAAAAGTTTTTTTAGTATCTAAAATGTTATATTAGTTTTAGTTTTAAACCAGAGGTGGCATTCAAAATTGATAATTCAGGATATTGACAAATACAAATTTTAAAAAGCTTAACCATCACAGCATAGATTGCCTAATAGTCAAAACAGGACAAATGTAATTTATAAAAACCACCCCAGGATACTTTATTTGTGACTAGATACATGCCATTTACTTTTTCTGGCTTCATTCCATTGTCTAATTCTGCTGAACTGAGTAAGCTTGTCAGATTCTCTCCTAATCTTCATGTGTGTACAAGTTCTCAACATAGACAAAGAAGAATTTTTAAATTTTAAATGAACATTGTTTATTATGTATGACACTGTTTTGTTAAACAAGCCGTCTGAAAAACTATCAAAATTTTGTTTGTTTTGCATGAGCCACAAGAGAGTGGACTTATATAAAATGTCAAAGTATTTACTTCAAATACTAAAGTCAAATTCAGCAAAAATCAAACAATGTTGAAGCTGAGAAAATTAATGGCTTTAAGTGTTTGAACATATTAAGAGAAAAGTAAAAACATACTCAGAAGTCCAGAACACAGAAGTGAACCTAGTGTAATCATAATATTCCTCCCACCTGCCCAATATGAAATAGACAAAGCACCAGCAAAAAAATACTAAAGACCTGGAAACAACCTGGAAAAATCATTCAAAAAGTAGAGCACAAGGATATTTCTCGATAGAAACTCAAGAAATGATCTCACAGCTAATAGAAGAGATGGTAAGAGGAGGGGGAGTAAAGATTCTAACCATATGATAGAGTTCCAACGGTAAGTAATAACTGAATTACAGAAAGGTTTAACCAGCAAAGTCATTTCTTCCAAAATATACTATCATTCTATTCTTAACAACAAATAACGATGATTTTGACACAAAACCCAATTTGATGTTAAAAACCAATAGAGAGGTCCCTTATATTGACCGAGCAAAGAACTGGGGAAAAAACCTGACAAACGTAAGTGAGAAATAGAGGTCCTTCTACATCTTCTGTAAACAGGTTCCTAAAATAGCACAGTGCTTACTTTCTTCAGCCTCCCTGATAGACAGTTTGGTGTGTAATACTAGTACATGAGTCTGTGGAATACCAGCACAAAGCTTGGGGGTGGGGCATGAGACTCTACATAGCTTTTCTTATGTCTCAACTATATTTAGTATTCTTTGTGGTTTTAGACTTTTTTTTTCCTTTAAGTGAAAATCTTTCCAATGAAAAATTCCAAACATGTTTTAAAAAAACAATTGCAGGAATTTCTTCACATTTTATAAACGATAATACTAGAAATGAAAGAGCTGACAGAACTTCAGGCAGATCCGAATTCAACCATCCATTTTTCATATTTCTCCAAGTCTGCAGCAGAGACAGACTTAGCAATTTTCTTAAGAGCCAATTCAAAGTCTCCTTTGGTAACTGGCATCTGAAGTTCTTCTTTAGAAAGTGCACGGATCTCTTCTGGACTTAAGCCATTGATTCGTCGTCTCATTGCCATTAAAGAGGCATCCCTAAAAATACACCAAAAATCAATCAATAGTAATTTTCACAAATATTTTAAACACTTTCAATTGTAAAAAATTTACAGGAAAACACAAGACTATTTTATGCATTTTTATGCTGCTACTTAGAATTTTCTACTTAAGAGACGTCCTAAGGGTTTAGGAGAAGTCAAAACAGAAATCAAAGAACTTAAAACATGAAACCTATAGTTAATGAATCCTAAAAGCCTAGGTTGAGCTCAGATAGCCCTGATTTTCTCTTTCTCATCTGTTCTTCAAAGACAAACCAAGATGTTTAGGAAACTGAAGATGAACTGTGAACTATGGAATAGTACATTGGGAAATGAACATATGGCTAACGTTAAGGTAATTCCAACCATAGATCAGTCTGTCTTCAGCCCAATTAGAAGGGTAAAACCAGGAACCCCTTTCTCTGGAACATGATTATATCCATACATAGGGACATGAAATTCCCTACACTGATTATTTTTGGCAAGTAAAGGTATAAACTCTGGCTTCTGGTTGCATTTTCAGCTCTACTTGACCAACTATAAATAAATATGAAGGTCTGGAAGAAATGGATGATTCATGATCACAAAAAAGCTTTTAAGAATGCCAAGGAACCAAAATTTCAAATTTTAGATGTCTTAATATAATGACAGTAGAAATTATTGTGAACTTGTGTGCCACTAAACTTAGATGTGCATAGTAAAAATAACTAGCAGAAAAAGTGGGAGAAAGATGTTGCAGCTTTAAAGGAAGGCTACTGAAGTCAATTTTACATATAGTTAGAAAAATAAGAGCTAAATGAAAAAAAATCCTCTTCACTGAGTAATACGAATTGTCTAAAAATGTCACTAAATTAGAAGAGAAATTTTAAAATGTATGTGTGCCTGTACTTGTATATATATCTTCCACAATTAAACTGATCAACTTTATCTGCATGTCCTCAAATAATCCCAACCAAAATGACACTACTTTCTATCAATGCAGTTAGGCTCCAACATAGAGCTAAATTAACTTCGGTTGTCTAAGTCATTATTACCAAGTTAGACACAACAACTTCTTAAAAATCAAAATATCAAAAACATCAATGACCAATGAAGTTATACAGAAAAAAGTCAAGACAAAGGGGAAATCATTTCAAAGAAATAAGTAGCTGCTTTTATGTCAAGAGCTAACTAACTGCACTGACTTTCAGGCTGAGCCTCCTGCTAAGTCTATAATTAACATATAAGATCATAGATCATTAGAAAAAAATACCTGCAAACATTAGTTATGTCAGCACCAGAGTAGCCCTCAATCTTCTCTGCTATATCTTCCAGCTGGATGTCAGGATCTAATTCGACCTCACGAAGATTGATCTTCAGAAGCTCAGCTCTTCCTTTTGCTGTTGGAAGATTTTTTTGTTGTATTACACGTTTTACTTATAATACATTCCAAAATCATATACGTTAAACATATTAACCATCAGGAAAAGAAAGAGACCAATGCAGAAAGTCAATAACTGTGAGCCCATTAGTATTACCAACTCACTGCATGATTCAAGAATCAGTTACCTTCCTATATGCCTTTGCTGTAATACTAAAAACCGAAACAGAACTTAAGAAATTTTGTCATAGACTGTGAGAACACGAGCTGTGAAAACAAAGGATTTGAGATCCTTTATGAGAAATACAAACATTAGTGTTCAAGTACTAGAAATGGTTCTTATAAAAAATATTTAGCTTAGTTTTACAAAACTAGACTTCATTGAGTATAACTCCTGTGTATGAATTACTCGGCTCACTTTTAAGCATAATACAGATTTCCAGAACTCTTATCAGTAGCTTAAAAAAAATTACTGGAAATAAGCAACTGGCAAAAACCAAACAAACAAAAAACCCTACTTCATTAATGCATCTTTCACTCGAAGAGCCAGCCCATACATATTTGCTCTTCCAGCATGATTTCAAGGTGTGTCCAGTAAGTTCACACTAGAGAGTTTTTAAAATAATTGATCATGGGCTCAGTGCCCATAGCTCAGTGGTTAGGGTGCCGACCACATACAGTGGAGGTGGCGGGTTTGAACCTGGCCCGGGCCTGCCAAACAACAATGACAACTACAACAACAACAAAAAAAAATAGCAGGCATTGTGGCAGGCACCTGTAGTCCCACCTACTTGGGAGGCTGAGGCAAGAGAATCGCTTAAGTCCAAGAGCTGGAGGTTACTGTGAGCTATTATGCCACAGCACTCTACCTAGGGTGACATAGGGAGACTCTGTCTCCAAAAAAACAATCATGTGTGCTGTTCTATTATTGCTTTTACTGGCAAGTCTGTTTAACACAGCACACTAAGATAATGTATTACTAGTTTACTGGCTCTCTACTATTTTTTGAGACATATAATGAAATTTAACTTTCTTCAACTTTTATTTAGAATAGTTTTTAATTTACAGGAAAAAAAAAACAATGAAGACTCATGTACCTTTCAGTGAGTTTGTCAATTGTTAACACTTTGTCATTATCACTCTAGCTGCCCCCCCCTTTTGATTTGAGAGCATCACAACATTTTACTGTAATTCTTTAGCATGTATTGTCTAAGAACAAAGGTATACATACACTTATCACCCTCATAAAGAAATTTAACATTGGTACATTGGTATCATCTAATAAATAATTCAAAGTAAAATTTCCACATTTGCAACAGGCCTTTATAACTTTTATAAACCATCACTTACTGTATCTAGTTACCAAGTCTCAGTTACCTCCCTACTGTTTATTTTTTGTTTCCTTTATTTTGTCTTTCCTGACACTGACAATTCTCCCTCAACTGATCTTACAGAGCCAACGTGTTCCAGTTAAGATCCTCCTAACAAGTCGATCTGTGGAACCTGACAGGTAGATAATAAAATGTTTACCGAAATGTTAAGAACCAAGAACCTCCAAGAAGCCCGGGAAGTGCAACAGCAAGGTTGGAGGAACTGCTCTATCAGATTTTAAGACTTATTACAAAGTAACATAATTCAATTCACAGTTGTGGAGATAGACAACAGATCAATAATACAGAGTAAAGTACCTAGAAGCAGATGAGAGCATATGCTATGAACGGAGGTGGAAACGGGGGAAAGGAGTGTCTAATTAATAATGCCAGAACAACTGATTATTCACAGGGAAAAAATTAAATCAGGTCCTACCTCATACTGTATATAAAAATCAGTGCCATCTAAATATAAAGTGTAAAATTATAAATATTTTGCAAAATAACCTATAGAATATCTTAATGGCCCCATAGAAGTATCCTTTAGATAAAGTATGTTCAAAAATCACCCATAAAGGAAAAGACTGATAATCTGACCACATTAAAATGAGAAACTTCTATTCATCAAAAGACAATGTAAATACAGTAAAAACAAGCTACAGAGTTTGAGAAGATAGTTATAACATACGTAAATAACAGAAGGCTTACATCTAGTGTATTTAGAATTCCTGTACATCAGTAAGAACAAATCAGGAAAAGACCTGAACAGATGTATTATAAAATCCAAATAGACAATACACAAAAGATGTTCAAATGCTTTGGAAATGCAACATAAGCCACAATAAGATAGCACTGCATACCAGAATACTGGTATAAATTTAAAAGCCTGGAAATACCAGGTGTTAGAAAAATATGAAACAATAGGAACTGGCATATACTGGTAGGAGTGTAAATTGGAACAGCCACATTGCAAAACATACTGGATTAATCAATTAATGCTGCAGCTATGCAATGTAACCTAGCAGTTCACTCCTAGGATGGAATGCTCCATCTTTGGTCTAAAGAAACTCAGGCACTTTAACTGAGTGCAATGCAATATAACTTTGCATTTATATTATGCAAATATAAGAATGTTCACAGTAGCATTGCTCATCATAGCCTAAAATAGGAAAAAATCAAATTATCTATCAAATAATATGATGGATAAGTTGTGGTATATGACTTAATGGATGCTATGGGTTGAATCATGTCTCCCAAAATTCTCATGTTAAAGTTCTAGTCCCTGATACTTCAGAATGTAACCACCTTTAGAGATAGGGCTGTTAAAGAGGTAATTACGGCAAAATGAAGTCACATGGATGAGCTCAAATCTAATGTGACTGGTGTCCTCAGAAGAGGTCAGGACACCCACACACATAATGGGAAGACCACATGAAGACACTGGAACAAGATGGCTATACACAAACCAAGGGGAGAGTCCCCAGAATGAAACCAACCCTACTCACACCTTGACCTTCAACTCCCAGTCTCTAGAACTGGGAGAAAATTTAATTTCTGCTGTTTAAGCCACCTAGTCTTTGGTATTTGTTTATGACAGCCCTAGCAAACATATACAATGAGATATTGGAACAAAAATTAAATGCATCTATATAAGCAAACATAGATGAATCTTAAAAATATATAGAGCAAGAAAAGCAAGATACAAATGAACACAATTAGTACAGCTTCATTTATGGGAAGTTTAAAATTATAAGGAAAGGCAAGAAACTACAGCAATTGCCAGCAGAAGGCAAGAAGGGAGCTGGGCTGGGCGGGAGCACACCAGGGAGCTGCCGGGCTCTGATGTTGCTCCACTTCTTGTTTCACAGCTGGTTACACGGCTGTCTGCTTTGCCAACTGAACAAACGGTTAAACTGAACATTTAATGAACGATTCTGTGCCCGAGTTACATTTCACACACAAACACAAAGTGAGACAAAGAAATTCAAGAGCAGTGGAAAAAGAAGCAAGGAGGCATTATTTGGAATTTCTAGAAAAAATAACTTATAAAAATAAAAGTTTCTAGAAAACTTTTATCATAAAAACTCCTTAGTCTTGGAAACCCCCTGGCCTTTACCCCAGACAACAGACCCAACTGTACAGTTTACAGGGAGCATGCCTGGTAAACAGGTGGTTTAGAGTTTAAAGAAGCCATCCACTCAGGTAGATGTCAAGAGGGGTGGGGGCAAGACAAGGAGAGGGTAGGTAGCTCCTATGCCTACTGCAAGAGAAGGTGGTTGTATTCCTGATGCCCAAGTAAAACTGCCAATTTAACACAAGAGCACTGTTACACAGCGCTTCACACACTGCAGGTGAACAAGTGTCGGTGAGGGAGTATGAATACATACTCATTATTATAGGCCTAATGTTAGAATACAACTGTATTTATAAATTAAATCTTTTACTGCCAGGCCTAAGAACCTAAATACCAAATTTAATACAATGTATTCTCCCACAGAAATGAACTTCTAGACAGCCAACTTAAAGTGAACTTTGAAATATAAACCTGTTCATAAGCAAGGACCTAGTGGTACTGAAGCTTAGTGCAAAGTATCCCATCCTCCTTTTCCCTAATAACTATGATTTGATTTGAGGGGCAATTAACTTCCAGCAGTACTGATATCAGTAATTCATTAGAAGAATTTTTTTTGGAGTCAGAGTTTCACTCTGACACTCTGGGTTGAGTGTCGTGGCATCATAGCTCACAGCAACCTCAAACTGTTGGGCAAAGTGATCCTCTTGCCTCAGCCAGCAGCTGGGACTCCAGGTGCCCGCCACAATGCCCTGCCAGTTTGTCTTCTTTTTTGAAGAGACAAGGTCTTGTTTTTGCTCAGGATGGTCTCAAACTCCTGAGTTCAGGTGATCTACCTTGCCTTGGCCTCCCAGAGTGCCAGGGTTATCACCATGAGCCACAGTATTTAGCCTATTAGACGATTCTAAGAAAGATTTATCAGCTCTATTAAAACAATTAATGATATTTAATAATTTCATGAAAAGATAACAAGAGATTAGTGTTATTGATAATAGTGTAAAGAAATGCCAATATTATATGACAGAAGTGTTATCACATGCACTGTAAGTTTACATAAACACCATTAGAAGACTCAAACCCTTCTCACACAACTCTCCTTGAGCACACTATGCAATCCAGTATGGTGAATAATGAGTGTGCACTTAGGGGCCAGACTTCCTGCACTCATGTCTGTTCTGAGAAATTAACCTCTGGGTGCCTCAGTTTCCTCATCTGTAAAACAAAGATAAGAACAAAACCTACCTCCTAAAGACTATTGTGAGAGTTAAATGAATTATTAATAATACATGTAAGGCCTGGCCCATAGTTGGCACTGAATAAATGTTCACTGCCTCCCTACCACCAATCACTAAACAGGACTATGAGGAGAGGGGGAAACCCAGTGTCCCTTCTACTGATAGGCGTCTGGGACAGCACAGACACAGAAGAAACACACCCAGGGAAGTGAAGGCCACATGATGAGAAAGGCCAGCGGGAGAAGACTGCATGGAGTAGTCACACTTTAAAGTCAGCTCTGAAAAGTAAATAAAATGTGAACAGAAGGGAGGAATGAACAATCTGGGAGACGGGAGCACCACA